CTCCAGGAGAAGTTGGGGGTGGGGGCAAATATCATGTGTGTCCAGTCCACTTAGGAAGTATCCTGTTAAACAACTGGCTCAATTGTCTGAATCTTTCTGAAACTTCTCTGCCTGGGCACACTTCCTGATCACAGTCTCTTGTCAGGTATCTCAAGTCAGTCAAGTCTATGGGGCCAACGCGAATGCACACTTATTCCTTTGCTCTTTTGTCCTTTTACAACTGATGGGTCCAAGGGAGGAGCAGATGGATAGGGTTGTAGGATCCTTTTACTGGAGGAAAGTGGATGAAAATGACCCAAAAGAGCCATTGTGCTGTCTATCGCAACGTTGTGAGATCTTTTCATTGAACTGGGGTCATTCCTACCGTTGATGATGTCAGGTCAGTTCCTAATGTTATGTTCTAAATGGGCAACGTGAGTTTTTCTACTTTCAACTAAAAACACAGGGGGAAATTCACTAGTTGTTCCAAAGTAACTTTTAAAACTTGAATTTCTTCTGAGTATTGTCATCAGATTGCTTATCAAATTGGTGTTCTATGGCCCCAGAAAAATAACTTGAGCTATTAAGAATCAAACACTGAGAGAAGACAAGCTCAGATTATTTTCCTGAATGACAAAGAGAATTATGTTTAACTTGTCTTTGAGCTCTCATTTATATATTACATTGCAATAGAGAAGGAGGGGGGAGGAAACCTTACAAATAAGAAAGATAAAATGCGATAGAGTAGCAAGAGACTATAATTGTAGAACACTGGCCCTTCTTTCTCCCTGAGTGTGGAAAGGGGGAAATACAGGCCATTTGCTACCATAGAAACCAGCCAAAGTATGTGGGAGGGGAGGAAGGTCTGCAGGAGGAACATAAAGACCTAAATTTTTGCAAAGTTAAGTTCTAGTCAGTAGTTGAATTTTTGTAAGAGCAAGAGATGAGTGTGTATCCCTTTTATTTAATTGCGTTCCAATCTGCTTTCCACCTATTTTGTTTTTTTGAACCTAGTGATTTTTTTTCAGTGTATCCTTGAGTAAAAGGAAGATTGACAATTAAAAAAAAATCACATTGGACACTCAATGTGTAGCGAGCACAGGAATTACTGACAGCGAGACGCCCACCACACACTGCACGGCCTCACGGGACAGAAACTCTCTACCCGACTAAGCTTAGAGCTGCCCCCGTCTTAGAAAACCCACAGCTCCAAGTGAATTCCTTTCCCTTTTTAATCCAGAGGCTGTTTCTGAGCCATGGTTCATTTTAATTTTTAAAACTGAATGTTAAAAATACTATTACAATTTGTCCTCAACACAGCTGTTGGGGACACGCCTCCTGTCGGCTGTCACAGGCAGCCACAGGTCCTTGTCCCTGACGATGCCTCTCCTTTCCCTACCAGCCTCTCCCTGCTGCTTTTGCCAGAATCATCACATAGTTGGAATCGGAAGTTTTCACCTTTGCTGACTGACCTCTTTCTCTTTTTGTGGCTTCATAGTCCATATATATATATGTTTTTTTTAAGTGCTGAATAATAGTCCATTGGCTGGATATTACTGGTCCTTCTCAATCATGCATTTGCTTCTAAGGTCACAGGCTCCATCTAAATGTGGGATGTGAGTCCTTGTCCCTTGCTCGATTATCTAGGTGGTCTCTGACTAGCTCATTCATAGAAGATAGCAGAATTGATGTACCAGTTTGCACTCACAGGCTTCGAAAGATTGGCAGCCTCTACTTCCTGTCACACCTGGTCTAAAGGAAGTGGCCCACCAAGCAGTGAGGCTGACAGAGCTTGAGTGGGCTGGAGAGGTAGGGCTTGTTCTGGATGTCCCAATTGTAACAGGTCCAGGTTTCATGGACTCCGCCCCCACTCCAGATACTGGAACTACTAATCCCATCAATACCAAGGAGAAGCATGTTGGGACGTGAGGGTGGAGCTGAGTGGCCAGGTTAGGATAAAACCGGACATTTGGGCTCTGGGGGGTTCTTGGCCTGGTGGTTCGCGGCTGGTCGTTGGCTCCAGTCAGCAGAACTGGTTGTTTAACTTGTATTTCTCTCCCTCTTTCCCTGGGTTGTTGCTTTACCTTGTAAATAAATCCATTATTGAACCTTTTTGTGTGTGTCCGTAGTATGATTGAATCTTAAGCGCGTGGGTGAGGACCCACGGACAGGCAACCCGATTCACATTGGGGTGCCCTGTAACACAACCATTCCAACTGAAATGCAGGCCTATGAGTAAGACGCCAGAAGAGACTTCAGACTCCTATCTAGCTGACCCCAGGTGACAACTACCCATTGAGCCACTAAGGCTTGGGGTGTTTACTCAGCAGTTACAAGTAACTGCAGCTGGAAGTAATGGTAATCCTACTTCAGAGGACTGTTATGAGGGCAAAATGAGATGTTTTTGGGTTCTAAATCCCATATGTGCAGCCTGGAATAAACAAGCCTTCAGGGGCCTTCCCTGGTGGCACAACAAGTTAAAGTGCAGCACTAGGAAGCTGTCTGCAGCCACGGCAGCACAAGTTCGATCCCTGGCCAGGGAGGTGACCCACATGGCTCAGCAGACCTCTCCTGTCTTGCCTGCTGCTCCCCTCAGTAGTATATTTCAGTAGATCTCCCTGTCCTGCTCCCCACTCTATAGCGAAATCTTTCACCCCCTGCACCTCTGGCCTACACTCCAGTTTTTGTGTGTATAAATAAATAAATCTTAAAAAAAAAAGTCTTCAATCCCCTTTCCTTTCCATGAATTGTATGGATTTCCAAAAAGAGGTAACTCTCAGTGTCATCACCTAAGGGAAGGAGGGTAAAGGTGGGCTCTTTGCTGGATATTTAGAATTTAAAGAGCTCCCCTTTCTTGTCACCTTCTCACTCTAGTTTCTTTCTTTCATATGCTATTTAAAACACAGCCAGATCTTTCAGACTAAGAATACCAAATTCAGCTTTTGTGTTTCAGACAGAAAAATCATTGGCTTAGTATGGACTCATGGTAATGAACATTGAGTCTCAGAAGTTGAGAAAGACTCAAAGCAAAATTCATAATTAAAAAGACTCAAAGCAAAATTGATAATTTTTGGGGTGTATGTGTTTATGTGTAAAACAGTGTGTAAAACAAAACTTTACATATTTATCATACCATGCAAGCATGATAGAAATACAGGTATTTTTTTGGCAGGGGTTGGGCGGGGAGAGAAGTTTAAAAAGCACATGGTTACCTATAGTTATAGTCTTGCTACATTTGACTTTATACAACATCAAAATTCAAGTTTGATTTTAACCAAGCAGAAAGTGGATAATGGAAATGCCTTTTCCTTCTGGCCCAAGGAATTTATTTCATTCCCGTGATCTCCCTGGAAGTCAACCTTTTATTACCTTGATTGCTAAGGTTGTGTTTCTTGCTCATGACGCCACGCATCCTGAAAGACTCAACAGCAAGGAATTTAGATTACCTTTCTACTTGCCCCTTGAATTCTTGCAAACATCTTATCCCTAATAAGCAAAAAGTTTTGTCTCAGAGTCTGAACAGGGTCATATTGTCAAATACCTGGTCAATTAAGTTGAGGGTGGAAGGGGAGTCAAATTAGATGCCTGACAAGCATAGATAAGGGAATTGGTTTATTTTTACTTTTACATTTCGATCTTTAATGTGGTGTGGACACAAAGTTACAGTTTGTTATCATATGCCCCAGGATAAAAACCTCTGGAACTTTCTAATTACAAGGTTAGAAAGGTGCAGTGGAGTAGGTTTCTGATGTGGGTAAGGGAGAGGTGGCCAGTCTGAGTGTCTGGTGACATTCTGCAGTGAGTTCCAGGAACAGAGTGTTACTTGGAAGGGGAAGTCAGCCTATTAAGGAACATCCCTTTTCTTAGGAGAATGCAAGGGGCTGGTGCTTTGGATTTTATGTGCAAGTCCTTATCTCTCTTGGACTCAGTCTCTTGCCATTCCTTATGCCATGAGACTGAAGTATGGACTTTTTTTCTGGCTTCTGCCTCCCAGTCTAGTTGGAATTCAGAGACAGTTGGGGCAACTGTTTCCTTTGCATTTCAAAGCTCTTGGAGGAGGTGCGACTGTATGTGAGGCTCTAGAAAGCCTGTTCTATAATTACTTCTTGATTCGCCTCTGGGTGTGCAGTACATGTGCCCAGGCGTATGTGTGTTCACGTGAGAGTCTCAGAGCCTGAGTGATCCTCACCCTGATGACACGAGCCAGAGAATGCGGGTCTACAGCAAACGAGTAACAGTATTTACCCCCAAAGTCAAATGAAACATCTCAGAGCCTGGAGTCTTTGTCACTAGAGACAAACCTATGGTCAGAGATGCCACCGCGGACGCACCCAAGTCAGTGCAATCACGACGCAAATTAAGGAGAGAAGCTTGAAGCCTGGCAGCAGGGCGGGGGGGGGGGGGAGGGTTTTGAACCCCAAGTGCTCCTGCCTGGAGTTCCTGGGTGACCCCCAGCACAGGTTCAAGAGGTGGGCAGTCATTTGACGGCAGGGAGTAGAGTGTGGGCTGGGGATCCGGGCGGCGACAGATGCCTGGAAATGGCTTTTGGGGGACAGGCATGCCTCACGTGGGCTTCCAGTCCGAGCCCAGCTTCCCGAAACCCGTTGCGCCCCCATGCCAGTAGCCACAGCACGTGTCCCGTGCCGGCGCCGCGGGACTCCGGCCCTCATTCTGCGCTCCCCGCTCCGGTGCCAGCCATTGGCTGGGCCTTCT